GTCTGTCTGTAGTTGGGGGGGTCTTGTACTCCTATACTTCCTTTCTCAGCTCTACTGCTTCGCCTCTGCATGTCTCCATTCTCAGTTCCTATAACTTTCACAAGCCCAAGAGTCCTGCATCAATTCTCATTCCCTGTTACTTCTCCCAGATTTATGAGTTCCCTCAACTTTGATCCCATTGTGTGGCCCAATATATCACTACTTATTTTGCTATGTTTCATCACACTCTACATATTTCAAGTTGTCTTGGCCTTATTGTTTAAAGGTGTTAGTTCTGTTATGTTTCTCAAATGGCCAACCATGCCACCTTTCAGATACGAAAAGAAAAAAGACTCATAAAGTCTTTTCAAGTCTATGATGTAATCTCTAAGGGTATGTCTAGACTGCATTCCTCTGTCAGCAGAGGGATGCAGATTAGGCAGGTCGACATTGCAAATGAGGCAGGGATTTAAATATGACACGCCTAATTTGCATAAAAATGGCCACTGTGTTTTGTCGACTCAGCACTTTGTCGGCAAAAAGCGTCAGTCTAGAGGGGGATCTGTAGAGAAATAAAGCGTTTTTCAACAGATTCTTTTAACCTCCTTGCAGGAGGCAAAAGGGATCTGTGGAAAAAGGCTTTCTTTCTTGACCGATCCCCCTCTAGACTGCTGCTTTTTCCGACAAAGTGCTGAGTTGGCAAAACGCGGCGACCATTTTTATGCAAATTAGGTGCGGGATATTTAAATCCCTGCCTCATTTGCAATGTCGACCTGCCTAATCTGCATCCCTCTGCTGACAGAGGGATGCAGTCTAGACATACCCTTAGTGGCATAATGGTGGAAAACAACAAAAAGGTAAGTGGGTAAATTACTATATTTCTAAGATCTGGGCTGTCTTTTTTTAAATGAACCAGTTTGAACTTCCTACCCTGACTCAATACTAAGTTGTCACCTGACCAGTGAAAACACTATACTAGTATATGAACTTTGCACTTCTATATTACTTTACACATGACTATCACTATTTTAAACTGTGTTACAAATATTAATGAATTTACTATGTTAAGTCCCATGTGAGAGAGAATTGTCATTATCCCCATTTTTAGAAATGATGAAATGGAAAAAAGAGTGTTGTCACTTTGACACAGAAGGTCACAGCTAAGAATACCAGATTCAGGACAGACTGCCAAGAAATCAGACAGACTCACTCCCAACTGGTGGTTATTCTATTATTAGATTAAATGAAGCCAGTAACAAAAATCAACTTCTGTCTTACCACACTGGTTAACAAGGAGTCAAAAATGCAGTCTCCTTAGGCATTCTGGATCTTGGCTCATCACCCAGATTCTATGATAAATGGTTACTTGAAACCAATTTGATTACATCCATGGGCCTTCTCCTAAGAGATCAACCTCTTACCTGCATCAATATAATTCAGAATGTACCCAATAATCATGTTAATGCCAATCCTCTAAGCTATGTCTACACAGAAGCTTTATTTTGGAATAAGCTATTCCGGAAGAGATATTCTGGAATAGCTTATTTTGAAATAGCATGTCTACACGCAAAATGCGTTTCAAAATAGCGCTTAGTTATTTTGAAATAGATTCAGTCCATACTGATTGGATGCTGAATCAGATATAAGGCCACCCAGAACCAGTTCATCAGGTCAGTAGTTACTTTGGTGGCTACTGCCTGAGGCCATCTGAGGCTTGTGCTTAAAGGGACCCCCCTGGACATCTGTTTCTCAGGTTTCCCTGCTTGCTTACCTACTTTTCTGAGGCACAGCAAAGTGTTTTCTCTTCTTGCTCTGATTGCTGTGACTCAAGACACTACAGCATTCTCTACTATGGAGCAGGAGCTGCCTCCGGGCAGTCTTCAGCTCTTTTGCTACAAGTCATGCAGCACTTTCTGCAGGCTGCCTCCCAGGCTCTGCAAGAACCCAGCCCCCAGGTCTTTTTGGAGACTCTCCTTGGGTATGTGGGGGAGTGGGTACAGGACCTGGATGCCGCCTGCTGTGTTCTAGGTGCCATGCCTCGCCGCATCTAGTGTCCGAACACCAGTGCAGATTGGTGGGACCACATCGTTCTAGAGCACTGGGGAGACCAAGAATGGTTCCAGAACTTCAGAATGAAGAAGGGCACCTTCCTTGAGCTGTGTGAATGACTTGGCCCTGCCCTGAGGCAACGGGACATACACATGAGGCCCGCCATTCCCCTCCAGAAGAATGTCTCCATCGCCCTCTAGAAACTCTCCAAGCTGGACAGGTACTAATCCATGGGGAATCAGTTCAGCATGGGGAGATTGACTATTGGGACCCTGCTTATGGCATTCTTGGGCTATTTTCCCAGGAAGGGGTGGAAGGACGGAATGGGCTTCCCTAGGGAAAAGGGGGTGCAGGTGAGGGTGGTGCAACTCCTCTTACCAGGAGGTTTGTTCCGTCCCACCCTCACAAAGCCCTTCCTGGGGTTGGGTTGCACCTGGTGATTGGGGGGAGGGGGACTTTAAAGGGGAACGGGGTAAGTGTCAGGTGCCATGGAACCCCTGTGATTCTCGGTTTGTTTGTCTCCTTCTGCAGGTGGTCAGGGTCATCAACAGCACCCTGCTGCACAGAGTCACCTGCCTGGCAAATGTGGATGCCATCATCAAGGGGGTTGGCACCTTAGGGCTTCCCCAACTGCAGAGGGCTATCGATGGGATACTTCCCTATTTGTGCTCCAGACCACTGGGCATCAAACTACATCAATCACAAGGGATAGTTTTTGGTGGTCCTGCAGGCTGTGACTGACCACCAGGACCAGTTTACGGACATATATGTTGGGTGGTTGGGGAAAGCATACCACGCACATGTGTTCAGGAACTCTAGTGTCTGCCAGAACCTGCACGCCGGGACTTTCTTCCCTGACCACCACATCAGGGTCGGGGACATGGACATGCTTGTATGCCTGGTGGGGGACGCTGCCTAGCCCCTGCAGTCGTGGCTCATGGAGCCGTACGCTGGCCACCTCAACCCCTCACAACAGACATTTAATGCCGGGCTGAGCAGGGCCCACATAGTGGTCAAGGGTGCCTTTAGCCTCCTGAAGGTGCATTTTAGATGCTTCCTCACCCGCCTGGACCTCAGGGAGCACAACATTCCACATGTGGTGGCTGCGTGCTGTGCCCTGCACATGTGTGAGAGGAAGGGGGAGGCCTTCCTGGAAGGGCGGGGGGTGGAGGAGGACCACTTAGGCAAGGCCTACAAGCAGCCGCGCACAACTGCCATCTGGCAGGCCCATCGGGGGGCTGTACACATCCAGGAGACCCTGAGGGAGAGCTTCTCCCCAGGGGATCAGTGACACTGTCCCCTGGTCCAACCCACTGGGGCTTCTGCTTCACCCCTCACTGCTGTCCCTCCACTTACCCCTCCCTATCGCCTCTTTCCTTCTTTTCCAACAACAAAATAAAAGTTTTGAAAAAGTAAACAGTCTGTATTTTCCATAACTGGGGTGAGGGGGGGGGGGGGGGGCCAGGGAAAGGGGAAAGAGAGAGGGGGAAGAACGAGAGGGTGGAAGAAGGGGCTGCGGAGTATCTGGGAGGAGGGAGCTGAAAGTGGGAAAAAGCAGTAGGAGAGGCTCTGGGATCGGGCTGGGAGTGGTGCCAGCCTCTGTGGACCCCACCGCCATGGGTGTGGGGGCCTCGGCATCCATGGGGAGTGGGCAGGGAGTGGAGGGAGCAGTATGAGAGGGAGTGGGAGGAGGCAGCGTGCTCTCCACCAGGGTGTACACATCATTGCAAAGGGAGTGGCCCCATTGGTCCCCAAAAGCTGTTTGGGGTCTCAGAATTGTCCCTCAGGAACTTGGATGTCATGTCCAAACATACATGAGGGCTCTTTCTTTGAATCCACTCTTACATCTTCTTCTGGTAGGAGACAAGCTACCAGTGTTCTCTACTGACATAAGCGTTTCTTTCAATGACCTTTGAGTCTCCGACCTCAGGTCAACAGCACAGAGGCCATTTGTTTTGCAATTAGCACCTTGTCTGATAATGACCTTCATTCACTTTCCCCTGGGCTTCTTTGATGCCTGACCAGTTATTTAGTTTCAGGGGTATTTACAATGTAAATGTTTGTTATTGCGTTAAGACAGGACACAGAGAAGTACAACAATGCGCGCAACATCCCATTCGTTCTGCAAACGTTAAACACCCAAAACACGAAGCAGACTGATCTATATAAGACGGTCTCACTTTATTACACTGCGACCCCCTTTTGACAACCAAAATTACTGCACAGCCCTGGGAGGGGGGACCTACACCCGAGTCTGCCTGAGCCTCGCTGCCCTGGGAGTGGGGCTCCTTTCCTTAGAACAATGATATCCATCATTTCATGGTCATCTCACCCGAACTGTGGATGGGCATTTGAAAATATTGTGTATGGGCTTTAAAACCATCATTAGTCACTTCAGAGTCAGAGGGAAAATAAAAGGACGGCTCCCTGACAGTGTGCATTGCATCATACAGGGTATCATTACCCCCCCCATACTGAAATGACAACAAAAACATTTTAATTGCTTGTTCTACTCCCCCGCCCTTTGAGATCAACAGCCTCAAAATGCTACAGGGACTGTGTCCCAGGTGTCACAAAGGTGATTGCAAAATCCCCAACACCAGCCTCTTCCGCACTGGGGGATGACTCTTTCCTTAGCAAGTAAGTTCAAATAAATATAGATGCGTAACAATGCATTTCCATTTCGCAGGCTAAGCAGAAATACCTCCAAGTGGGTTGATCTGTTAACTGGCCAAATCTAGGTGAGTTTAGAATGAAACACTTTATTTGATGAGATGTGGTTAATGAAAGGAAATGTTTAGAAGTTAAATTTTGAGATAAAAGCTGGGTTTGATCTATAAAGGAGCCTAATTTAGGTCCCGATTTCTTTTAACTTAGTAAATTTCAGCCAAAAAGCTCCAACAAGCGTTAGAGGGTCTTTGGATCTTGATGATTTATCTTATGGTACCTGCCAGTCCAGCTGAAAATAGAAGAAAACAATCTGATTTTGCATAATTCCTCTAGATTTGGGAGGACAGCTGCTGTGAAAGATATAAGAGCAGTTATGTAAAAAAAAATTACTAGGTATCAGTGGTGTCTTTCTTATTCTCTCTGGCTCTCACCCCTTTGCATTACAGATTGAGATGAGCTGACTTCAATGACACCTAAAACTCATACTTAATTTATACCCACTGGCCTTACACAGCCAATGCTGCTATAGGTGAAGAGTTGATTTCTCTTAATGAATGCCAGATTTATGCACAAGCTACGTAAAATGAACTTAGGGCTTCTGATTATGAAGGGTCTCTAAATACAAAATAGTTACTACAGAGTGAACGTCTCAAGTCCAGAACACTCTGGTCCAGCAACATCCGTGGTCCAGAATAATTTTAGTTAGCTGGATTGCCACTTTTCATGGGTGTGGCCAAGTTTCCTGCAATCCCATAAAGTTTATTTGCAGCCTAGCTCAAAATGTTCTGAGCTGTTATTTAGCTCTAATTTACCCCTAAAATGTCCCCTAACAGCCCAGTAAGTAATGCATGTATTGGTAATGCTGCTAGACAATATTGACTCCCATGGTCCAGAAAGTTATTTCAGAACCAGTGGGTGGTGCCAGACTAGAGAGGTTCAACCTGACTTTTTTAGTTACATCCTTGCCTAGGTACTGGTATATATGCAACTATAACACCTTGTTATTTCTATTTTCATTGTCCTTTCTGTTAGAATAATACCCATTTTTTTGGTGCTGCTGTGGGGCTTCTTAAGTGTGACATTGCTTAGGGCCCCAGCATGTCTTAATCCAGCCCTGTTGGTCTTCTGGCTAAATTACATCTATTACTGGGGGCTTTTGTATGAGCTAGAAAAGAACACTGGGGTGACAAGGCAGAATTTGCAGAGCAGACAGCATGGGTCAGATCCTTCGCTGGTGTAAATTGGTGCAGCTGCTTCGAAAACAAGAGGTCCATGCCTGTTTGCACCAGCGGAGGATCGGACGTTTTATCTATCAGTCACCTCCATCCCTTTACCCAGGTTCACCCCGGGCAGTCCCACAAACCTGCTTGTGTCTGGGAGTTTCCTCATGGCATTAGGGTGCTATGGGCCTTTGAGGCTGCACAGTACCTCTCCCTGCTCTCTCTGACCACTGTCCTGCCAGGTGCCAGGAGACCGGGCCCAGCATGTCCCACCTTTTCATCTTGGGCTGCAGTCCAATAGACCTGCCTATGACAGGCCTTTCCACAGGGCATGGGGGATACAGTGCCCAATGACTCCAAGGATGAGTTTGTTGGATGCTCGACCAATCCATACTTCAAGTTTTTCCACTAGAGTTCCCACTCACCACACACACACGTTCATTGAGGGCTTGTCTCCGTGGGGGGTTTACACCACATCCAGCTGAGTTAATCTGGTCTGAAAACACTTGTGCACACATGATGCAACCCACCACTGTGCACTGGCCTAGGTTTGCTTCAAACTCAATTGGTTTGGTCTTTTTTTCGGATGCTCGCAATGGCTGCACCCTCCTCCTGGCATGTTTCAATGGCTATGCCCCAGCGCTTTGTCCATTCCTGACTTCTCTGTTTGCTTGTGTGCCCTTGCTGCCCTGGTTTCAACTCTCCAGGAAGACCCTTCCCCCAAAGGAACAACATTTTTCCTTCTCTGTCCGTGGAGTAATCAGTAGACAGAAATATTTTTATTCAAATTGGTAGCCAAACAGGTCTGCTTTTGAGCAGAAAGTGACACCAGCCTTGAACTCCCTTCTGCTTTGGTCCACATTCCGGGTGTGTTCACCTTATCGGAATGCTCACCTCTTCATTCCTGGGCTAGATTTGGGATGATGGGGAGATGCCTTCAGAATGTGACGGAAGCTTGTAGGTTGCTTTTATGGTGCCAAAAGACAATTCTACGGCCCAAGCCTTGTCCGTTAGAGCTTCCATTTTCCTTTCTGTGTTTTGAATAAGGACATGCACCAACAGCCTGTAATAGGTTTTGGGGGCAGAGAGGAGCAATATAGTTGTAAAAATATAGAATGAATTGGAAAAATGTTGACAACAATTTTCTGTCAAAAAAAGCCAATTAGTTTCAACTGAAATGTTTCTTCGAAACATATTGGTTTGATGAGCTTTATTTTGTCAAAAAGGTTTCTCAGGTCCATGATGGAATTTCTGGTTAAAATGAGAAAAAGAGGTATCCCAGTGATTAAGACATGTTAGGATATGGGCGAACCAGATTCAAATACCTGCACCAACTTGGATACACCGAAAACTTCAACCTCAGGAGTGTTGTAAGCAAGACATGAGAAGTGATTCTTCCACTCTACTCGTTGCTGATTAGGCCTCAAGTGGGGTATTGTGTCCAGTTCTGGGCACCACATTTCAAGAAAGATGTGGAGAAATTGGAGATGGTCCAGAGAAAAGCAACAAGAATGATTAAAGGCCTAAGAAACATGAGCTATGAGGGAAGACTGAAAGAACTGGATTTGTTTAGTTTAGAAAAGAGATCACTGAGGGGGGACATGATAGCAGCTTTCAAGCATCTAAATGGGTGTTACAAAGAGAAGGGAGAAAAATTGTTCTCCATGGCCTCTGATTCTAGGATAAGAAGCAATGGAGGTTTAGGTTGGAAATTAGGAAAAACTTCCTGTCAGGGTGATTAAACACTGGAATAAATTGCCTAGGGAAGTTGTGGAATCTCCACCACTGAAGATACGTAAGAGCAGGTTAGACAGACATCTATTAGGGATTATATAGACTGTGCTTTCCCCTGCCGTGAGTGCAGGAGACTGGACTTGATGACCTCTCAAGGTCCCTTCCAGTTCTAGTATTCTATGATTCTACGATCTTCTACATCCTAGGTAGCTGTCCTAACTTTCCAGTTATTGCGGGGGCTTTTTTTATTCCACTGAAAAATTTCAAAAGGTCTTGTTTCCATTCTGCACCAAAATGAAAACAAATTTTGAGACATTGAAATATTTCATAAAATGGAATTGTTGTTTTCCATCCAGCCCTATGAATATGTACCTAGAGTAGCTATCAAAGAAGAAAATCATTGGTGTATGCTGTCTTCTTAATATTGTTCTGTTGTTGTAAAATATCCAGCTGTATTTCTGGATGCTTTCCAGTTAATCTGATCCTAGGTCTGAGAATTAAGCTGTGCTAAAGACAGCATGGTTTATTCATGAAATTTGCCATGTTCTAACAAGGGTGCAGTATTTCGGTGGATTTGTTAGGTAGTTACTAATGTTCAATTAATATAATCTATGAGCTTCTGTGGCTTCAATAATTTGGATTGTTGCAAAGATGATTGGCTTCATTCACAGATGCAGTAAAATGAATTGCACCCTCATATATGAAATCACTTTTAGAAGTTAAAGAGGCTGATTAATGAACCCAATTAAAACTCTGTGTTAATGGTAGCAGCATCTTCCAAGTATTTAGTGATATCTTTTCCATTTGTCTAAAAAACACAGTCATTTGAAGGATTACTTTCCTGGTAGTATCCACATTTCCTTGTTAGATCCCTTTAATTCATGGCTGAGCAAAATGTAGCTATCCTACCTACAGAAGGTCATACCTTTGGTGGTATCCATATCCACCCAACACTGTGATGCTGTCTGTAGAAAGATAGGTCTGAGTTCCATACTCTAGACCAGTGGTTCTCAACCATGGGCCATATGGCTCCCCAGGGGCCACAAGGAAAAAACGGAATATTAGGTAAATTATGTAAGTTTTTTTCCAACTAACAGTGGCTATGAGGGGAGCCACAGAGGTAAACGAGGCTCAGAAGGGGACCATGAGCAAAAAAAAGTTGAGAAACACTGCTCTAGACTACCCTTGTGGGTCATGTAAGTGCCAGTTGTTATGAGTAACAGCTGTTATGTAAGGGACATGGCTTTTGATGTGATGGGACGAATGTGAGTCAAAAGTGGAGGTTCCAATTCTGTCACCATTCCCGCTTTTTTTAAAAATGCCCTCCTGACGCCACGTTTAATTCAGGTCTCATTTGATGGGCCTGTTTTATAAAGAGAACCCCACATCTTGAATTGCATTCGGACCCTCTGTCTTTGACTGACCATCTCCCCAAGCTTTCCTTCTGCACACACATGAGGTAGGACTCTGTATTTCTGGGTAAGTCTACACTGCTCGCTTATTTCAAAATCAGCTATTCCAGAAGAAATACTAAGAAATAGGTTATTTCAAAATAGCACGTCTACACTACAGGGAAGCCTCAAAATTAGTCCAAGGCAGGCTCCCCTAATGTGGATATACTACCTCGATTTAGAGCCCCAGGAAGCATGGGAGAGCAATTACTTTGGTCCTGGGGAGGACCTATTTTGAAATAGCAACAGTGGAGCGTCCACACTACTGCTATTCTGAAATAGCTATTTTGGAAGAGGCATTATTCCTCATGGAATGAGGTTTACTGAAGTCAGAATAAGGCTTCTGCTATTTCAAATTTATTTTGAAATAATGGAATTGCTGTGTAGATGCTTGCATTGCTATTTTGAAATGACGCTGCCGTGTAGACATACCTTCTGTGAGCAAGGTTCTGTGCTAGGATGCCCATAGTAATGCTCTCTTTATTGTGCTTCCAGGGGTGGTATGACATTTGTTCTTGTTTCATTCATCCATCAGGACCTTCCCCAGCTCCCTGATTGCCCTGGGGTTGAGCTGGCAACAGACAACGCAACTGCTGAGGAAATGTCAAGGGGAAACCACACGGCAGTGACCGAGTTCATCCTCTTTGGCCTTACCCATCATCCAGAGATGGAGGTGGTTCTATTTGTTCTGTTTCTAGCCATCTACATCACCACGTTGGTGGGCAACATTGGCCTCATCGTGCTAATCCGGATCGATTCCGGCCTTCACACCCCTATGTACTTTTTTCTCAGCCACCTCTCCTTCCTGGATCTTAGCTACTCCTCCGCCATTGCGCCTAAGATGCTGGTGAACCTCCTAGCTCAACGCAAGACCATTTCCTTAGCTGGCTGTGCAACACAAATGTATCTCTTTGCTGCCTTTGCCGATGCTGAATGCCTCATATTGGCTGCAATGGCCTATGATCGATATGTGGCTATCTGTAACCCGCTGCTCTATATGACCGTCATGTCCCGGAGGCTCTGCATTTCTCTAATAGCAAGTGCCTATATCAGTGGCAGTGTGAGCTCACTGGTCCACACGGTTTTGACTTTCAGACTGTCCTTCTGTGGCTCCAATGTCATCAATCATTTCTTCTGCGACATGCCCCCCCTGCTAGCTCTCTCCTGCTCCAGTGTCCACCTCAACGAAATCCTCCTCTTTGCTTTGTGCGGCTTTATCCAGACCAGCACCTTTGTGGTCATCCTTGTCTCCTACGCCTATGTCCTCACCACCATTCTGAGGATCCACTCCACTGGGGGAAGGCACAAGGCCTTCAACACCTGCACGTCTCACCTGACAGCTGTAACCTTATTTTACGGGGCTCTTCTATTCATGTATTTACGGCCCCGCTCCAGCTACTCCCTGGATGCAGACAAAGTGGTTTCTGTTTTTTATACTGTGGTCTTCCCCATGCTGAACCCCCTGATCTACAGCCTGAGGAACAAAGAGGTGAAGGATGCCCTGAAGAGAACATTAACGAGAAAAATGTTTTCCCGGTGATATGAGTAAAAGAGAAAATAGAAAAGGGTCGCAAGGGGGTTTAAAGGTGAACCCAATCTGCACAGCTGGTCTGTGTATAAAAATTGTGATGATATGTACTTAAATATGCAGGAATAAAGCAGGTTCCTACAAGTTCAGAAGGACCCAGGAGGGATGGGCATCCCCTTATATTGTGTCAAGATGCATTTCATCGCCTTGATCCACCTCCAAAACATGAGATCACTTTGATTCCACTCTCTGATAATCTCACACATTGATTACACGGCTAATGGGCCAGATCCAATTCCCTTTGACCTCGATGGAAAGTCTCTCTTCATGAACATTAGCTAAGGCCTATAATGAAGGTTTCCAGAGATTACTTTGCTTGTATATATGCATCTTGTGGAAGAAAACATTGTCCTCACTCTGCATTTGTAAGCAACAAGTAGCCAGAGGCAGTTTTATTACGAGCTGCAGCAAGGGAAAAACTGGTTTGGACAGGGGGGAAGCCCCCCCCCTTCCGAGGCAGATCTTTGAATACAAGCAATTATGAAGCAGTTTATATACTGTCTATTAGATATAATAACAATAACAATTAGTCTCCTTCCCATTACAGACACCAATGGTTAACAGTTATTTAGTTCCACCCAGGTGCTCCTTATCTCAAGGTCCCTGCCAGAGTCATCGTTCTATCCTTATCTCCATATAGAGGCGAGAGGCGAAGGCAGCATCTAATTACAGATCTTCCATTGTCAGGCCACAGACTTAGCCTGACTCTTGCTCTCTTGTTAACAAGACCAAGATGGCTGCACACAAATTCCCTTATTCCCTTTTCCTGCCTCCACAACCTTTTGAATAAACTGGATGAAATGATATGCCTGCGTTATATAGGAGGCCTTGCCGTACATAATGCTCACTTCTGGTCTTAAAATCTATGACTTTGTGCATTTATTGACTAATTTATTGGACAACAGAAAAAATATAACATCAGAAATCATAGCACCAAGCTCAATAAGCAAAAAATTGAGGGATAGGAGGTACCAGGGAATTAATGCTACAAACTAAAGGGGTGAATATTGTTCAATTTTATAAACTGCACCCTCACTAATTGAATGAGTGCCCCATTGCCATGGTGCCGTAGCAAAGAGCAATGAAACCACCTACAGGTTGAACCTCTCTCATCCAGAACACTCTTATCCAGAAACATCCAAGCTACGTCTACACTTGCAGCTTCTTTAGCAAGAACAGCTGTTCTTGCGCAAAAACTTGCCGGGTATCTACACTGCACGCACGTTCTTGCACAAGTAAATTTACAGTCTAATATCGGAAAACAAGGCTTGTTCCGAAAGAGTTATTCCTCTACCCATGAGGAATAAGCCCTCTTGCACAAGAGGGCAGTGTAGACAGGCAACATGAATTTCTTGCGCAAGATCCCCTATGGCTAAAATGGTCATCAGAGCTTTCTTGCGCAAGAGAGCATCCACACTGCCATACATGCTCTTGCGCAAAAGCACATGCCAGTGTAGACGCACTCTTGTGGAAGACTTTTTGCGCAAGAACTCTTCCGCAAAGTGGTTCTTGTGCAAGAAGCTGCCAGTGTAGACATAGCCCCATTGTCCAGAATGATTTTAGTTAGCCAGAGGTCCATTTTCATGGGTGTGGTCAAGTTTCCTGCAGTCCCATAAAGTCTGTTTACAGCCACCAGTCCTGGCCCTCCATGCTCTGTGCTGTTATTTAACTCTAATTTACCCCAAAATGTCATCTAAAAGCATAGCAAGCAGTGGAAGTGTAGGTAATGCTGCTACATGGGCCAGTGTAGGAAAGGCTGCTATGTTGACCTCCCATGGGCCAAAAAAATTGTTCAGAACCAGTCTGGTCCCAAGGGTGCCAGATGAGAGAGGTTCCACCTGTACAGCTGATTGAACGTTTTACCACGGAACATTTTTGCAGTTGGCAAATGTTGATTCTTTGAAACTGACACATTCCTCGGGGACACATCCATTTCAATGACCATTTGTTTGAAGGAAGTGGAGTGTTCAATGTTTCAACCTCTTCAAAATCCAACATTTCCATTCTGGGTTTCAGAAGGACTTCGGGCTTCAGGATGGTATTTCATTTTGTAGGAAGTTGTGTCTTTTATGTTTTGTGACACACATGCACAGAAGTTAGAGGAAAACATAAAAATATACCTGCCGGAAAGTTACGAAGTCTCCCTAATCTTTTTTTCTTAAAAGCTAAAATGATAACACATAAGAACCTAAAAATCAGAGAGAGAGAACGCAGGTTGTTACCTATAACAGAGAGGAACAAACTCATCCAGCTTACTTGGTGCCTGTTGATTGAATGCTGCTAAGCCCCAGTAGTCTGCTTCCCTACTGAGCCACTTAGTAAGCAAGCAGGTCTAGGAACCAGGCCCAAAATTTAAAGTCACCGTGTTCAATTTTAACTGAATTGAACATACACCAAAGCATCAAAGTCTCTCCCTTTTTTTTTTTAAATCCTCATTTGTAAACATGCCATGAGGAATCGGAGTCAAACTCCCGTTACTAATGATCATCTATATGGGACAATCACTAGTGTGTATTCTATGTTGTTTTGTTGGTTTCTTTAGGAATTGTGGGTATGTCTACACTACAGTGTTATTTCAAAATAGCTCATGTTTTGGGGCCACTGGGTCAGGGGCAGTGACTGCTGGCTCTGGGCTGGTAGGCTTGGAGCTGGCACAGGCACTGTGGCCAGAGTCAACCCCTTTAAGGGCTCCGGGGAGCGGGGAGGGAGAGGAGTGTTCTTGGTTGAGGCTGGAGTGGCCTCCATGGCCCCCTGGGAAGGCTGGAGGCCCCTTATTTTGAAATAAGTGTCTACACAGCACATATTTTGAAATAGCTATTTCGAAATTGGCATTATTCCTCGTAGAATGAGGTTTACCAAATTCTAAATAAACGCTCCGCTATTACGAATTTATTTCAAAATAGCGGTTTGGCTGTGTAGACGCTAGTAAAGTTTTTTCGAAATAAGGGCTGTTATAACTTTGCTGTGTAGACATACTTTTTGGGAAAACGGGAGCCCTGGAAAAGCCTGGGTTTTTCCCCACTCACAGTGCACATTTGCTGCCTACTGGTGCTGTCTGATCAGTAACTTTGTGACATCAGAGATAATTGGCCACTCCTCCAGATCATTTTCATACTTGGGGAGAATGACTGGCATCCTGGCTGTCATGGCAACAGCTGCCTTTGACAATGGATTGATCCTGTAGTCTGAGAACATCAGCACAGAAAGGATCTTTGTAATGAAACAGGGCCAGACTTGGATGAGTAGGATAACCCCCAGCTGTGCTCATTTGGGTTTGTACTGTGATACAGCACATAGTTCCTTTTCCAGGAGCAATTGCTTGCTACTTTCCTTAGTAATGGCTAGGTGAAAATAAGATGCAACATCCTAGTAATTTTTTCTTCGGTATGACTTATCTGCTTCTTACAAATGGAGGGTTATAACTTTCTGAATATTTACCTTTTTTAAAGAAGAGCAGGAAATTGAAGATCTGAATCCCTGCTCAGTTTTCTTTCACACAATTACAGAATGAGTCATTTACAAATTTCATTAAAACTGAAGTTGCATCAAATGCGTTTTGTTTTAATAGTGTCATTCAATTATTTTCAGTATTCATCAACACAGCACTGAGGAGTGAAAAGGGGATCTTCCCAAAGATAACAATGGCCATAAAATACATACTGAAACACCAAAGGAGCAAGAGATTCATTGTTTCAGTAGTACAGATATACAGGTTTTCTCTGTGTTTAAAAAAATAAGGAAATGTAGAAAAAAAACCCTTCATTTAATGCTACTTGAGTTTGCTTTCATCAATAAACTAAACCATTAGGAAATACAAAGTCAAGGTTTTTTAAAGGATTATAAGGCTACAAAGTTAAGTGTTCTCCGGTTAGCAAATGCCCAAATGAATGTTGCCCCTAGCAACCTTAATTCAATTCTCTTGTGCATTTACATGAAGCTGCACTCTTTAATTACATGCTCCCATATCCATGTTATTCTTTACATGATTCTGCACTCTTTAATTACATGCTCCCATATGCATGTTATACTTTCCAGCAAGGACCCTTGCTTTATTCAGTACACAGGTTTTTCTGCCCTGGGGCTGTGTCTTGAAATAGGGGCTATTGTCAGTGGGGTCCATGCACCATTTATTTGGGGAGGACATCGGAAGCTGGAAGGGGAAGATGGACGTCGGGGCTGTGTCTTGAAATAGGGGCTATTGTCTGTGGGGTCCATGCATCATTTATTTGGGGAGGACATAGGAAGCTGGGAGGGGAAGATGGACGTCGGAGGAAGACCCCATGAGTAAGACATGGAGTAGTGCACGACATAGAGACCCCGCTCCTCCTGCCAGAGATGCACATGCTGGCAGCCAGGGTGAACGAGCATCTGGAAGCTGCTCTAACCCTGATGTGCTGCCAGGGGTCTTCCCCACCCCCCGGGTGTTTTAAACTGCCCCAGGGCAGCAGATGGGACCAGAGGATGCATAGGGAGATCACAGGGAGCAGCATAGAGCCCAAGGGACCACACAGGTAGCAGGAAGTCAGAGGATTGCATGGGGCAGCAGCACCCGGAGCCATTGCCAGAGTGGGTGTGCCCCAAGGTAAGTGTGGCACCCCCACACACACCCTCTTGTGCACTCCCTCCAGAGTCTGCACCCTCTCCCCCCACCCTGCCTCCAAACTCCCTCCCAGAGCCTATATCCAGAGCCATAGGCCACCCCAGACAACATGTTTTGAGTACACCCATGCCGGCTGCCTCAACTGTCCTATGAGGGAGAACCTGGGGGCAGAAGCAAGGTGCAGGGTGGCAGCAGGGGTCAGCCTCCAACATGCCTCCTATGTCAGGCACTGGGCCAGCAAGGAACAGGATGTGAGTTCTGCCACAGCCACAAAACCCATATCCCCACAGTGGCATAAAACTTTGCAAAACTTTCAAGGATAACGCATCTGCATGTAATTATGCCCAGTCCCCCAGAGCAATACAGTGTGTTTTAATGAGTCCATCTGTGCTTGACTTAATGATCATAGCACAAAGATGCTTTTCCAAAATGACGCGATGCCAGCCATAAATACGCTTCCCGCCTGTTTTTGGAAATCAAGACAGACAGACAGACAGACATCTCTCAGCAGGTAAGAGTAAAAGTTATTTCCATTGCCATAGAAATGAAATCTCCCCTTTATTAGTTGCACCAGGAAATCAGTCTTTTCAGATCACCTTGCCCAAGGAGGAGTCAACTTGTTGATTATTTGAATCTAAAATGCAGCCATGTTTGTTTCAGGATAAAATTATATTCTTGAAGGGACACTGCTGTCTGGTGAGGACACTAGAGGGTGTGTGAAGAGAAAGGAGATTGTGCTGGGTGTTTCGCACTTCTCCTGTCTCATAGCCAATCCCGTGGTGACTTTGGAGTGGATGATTGCAATGTTCTCTACCCTGAGTAGGGCCCTACCAAATCTATGGCCATGAAAAATGTGTCATGAACCATGAAGTCGGCTGCCCTCCCATGAAATCTGGTCTTTTGTGGGCTTTCGCCCTGTACTACACTGATTTCACAGAGGAGATCAGTGTTTCTCAAATGGGGGGTCCTGAGCAAAAATGGAGTTGAATGAGGGTTGCAACGTTATTTTAGGGGGGAGGTTACGGTATTGCCATCCTTCTGTGCTGCCTCCCGAGTTGGGTGGCCAGACAGTGGCCACAGTTGGCCAGGTACCCAGCTTTGAAGGCAGCTCCCCACTAGCAGCAGCACAGAAGTAAGGTTGCAAGATCATGCTAGGGTTCAAAGAGCCGGGGGTGGACTAGGGAGCCTCTTCAAGCCCTAAATTTCAGGATGCTATGACAAGGTGTGCAGCTGCTTGCATGTTTTCCTGGACTCAGGCAAGAATGCTCAGTTCCTTGCAAAATCATTATCTTAGATGCATCTGATGAAAGAAGTCGAGTCCTTCTTCCTTTGTACCTACTGTAGATCTGTACATTAAGCAAGCTGCCTTTGACGTTGAATGAGCCTTTTAGGGTTATCTATGATATATTCTGAAGAGTTTGTTTGTGGATTTGTTTGTGCAAAATAAAGTCATACTTTGCAATTACCTACAGAAACCAAATTTTGCATAAACAATCTTGTCACTTAAATTAGCTGAATGCACTGCCTTTTACACTGGAATATACTGGGGGAAAGGTTTGACTCAGTGTTTCTCAGAGTGATCCACAGACCCACTCTGAGAAAGCTGCTACTGGGCTGCTCCGGTCTGTTTACTCATTGGCTCCACAGCCTTGCAGCTCCCATTGGCTGCGATTTGCTGTTTGCAGCCAACGGGAGCCACAGGAAGCAGCATGGGTCCACGGACCACTTTGAGAAACACTGGCTTAAATAATTATTTTTGGTTTTCATTGAAAAAAAAAGTCATGACTATTGTGATTAAAGTTCATAAAATATTTGCTAACAAAATGAAATTCAGCTCTCATGTTAGTGCAAAGAAAATTTTTAATGTTACAAATCACAAAATAATCCAAATTAGTTACAGAAAGAGTAATGGAAGCTTTACAAGTTTCTGATTCAAATTTACTAAGTATGGTGATTATTCAGTAAAATGAATAATGTTGGAAGTTGAAATCTTACAAATTTAAAACTGTTCTTTTACTTCCCTTTTGCAAGCCCATTAATAAAAAAAACTCTTATATGCATTTCATTTCTTGAACTTTCTTGAACTTTCCTATAAGTGTAATCTATTTAAAATAACTTTGCCTGGTCAACAACAGGCCTCACTTGCTAGTTTGTAATATTTCCCTGAATACTGACTGACTGACAGATTCTATTTGGCCAAAACCAAAAAGTATGTAAAGAAATAATTGACAGCTGTGCGTACACACACAGGCTGTGCCTACTTAAAATCAGGAATAAGGGATCTTCCGGAAAAGGGTTTATTTTCCGAAAGGTACTGGTCTAGACTGGCGCTTTTCTCCAGCAAAGCCCTGAGCCGGAGGCAGCCATGTTCACGCAAATGCCGTGGGGAAAATTTAAATCCCTGGGGCATTTGCAATTCCGACTGGTCTCATTAGCATCCCTTTTCCGGAAAAGGGTGCCAATGTAGACACAGCCACAGAGACATAAATACATACCTCTACTTTCTTGATCTTTGGCCATTGAAAATATACCACGCTGATTAGACTAGACATTCTCTTCCTTTTACCTTGAAAGTGTGTTATTAATGAAAACCAAGTCGTTCCCTTCGTTTCACAAACTGGATTGTGCAACATGAGCAAAATACAATTAACAGCTATGTGATTTGGTGATCACTATCATGAGGAAAGAACTACTTTGAGGATATTGACATATGATGAAATAGGTTTCTTATGTTAAAAGGTAAATTTATTGAATTTTTTCCTTATCATTATAAATACATGCTTCTAAAAATATGTTCACTCTTGTTTATTTTCTCTGAAATAGCTACCCCTGCCTACATGCTTTTAGTCTGATCATCACATATATACATGTGGTAATTTTTCAGGAGCCGAAGATCAAGAAGCTACAGGATTTAGTCAGAAGGTTGCATGGCTGAAGTGTCCAGATGAGGTAAATTTAGAAGCTCAGGTTTTGAATCACTTTCTCAATGAATAAATGTGCATACTGTACATCTACCCAGTAGCCGCTGATTAAAAATCATGTAGATGTATTTTGCGGGGGGGAAATTCATACCCAATTACCAGAGAGTGTGAAGCACAATGTGTGTTTCTCCTATCCAGGTATAAGGGAGATCTATGGATCCTACAACTCTCTATGGTCACAGTCCCTCAAACTTGGTCATATTCATTCATTTTATTCACATGAGGCTTTCCACTGAGTCTGTAAGATAATACTGATGAGCAAAATTAAAATATCAGCTCAACTGGAGCCAAAATGTGTAAATCAGAGTAAATGGAGGGTAATGCACTTTTCTGGAGACAAAGAATTTTTTTTTCCTGTGGGAGTTCTGGGAATTTTTCTGGCTAGCTGCTCCAGACTCCAAGGGTCTCTACACTTCCAACCACAGCCCCGTATATTAGCACACACCTTTCTAAAAACTAATGCCTTTCTTTATGGTTGCTCCCACAGCTAGTGCCCAAGGTGGAGTGAATGGCGAGAGGAAATTGTACGGCAGTGACTGAGTTCATTCTCACAGGACTGACAGATCGTCTGGAGCTACAAGTCCCCCTCTTTGTGGTGTTCCTCGTCATTTATGGTACCACCCTGGTGTGGAATCTGGGTATGATGGTTTTAATCAGGTTCGACACCCGACTTCATACCCCCATGTACTTCTTTCTCAAGAATTTGTCTCTTGTGGATGCCTGTTACTCCACAGTCATCACTCCCAACATGCTCATGAACTTCTTAGCAGAGAGGAAAGCGATTTCCTACACTGGCTGCATCATCCAATATTTTAGCTTCATATTGCTTGTCATCTCTGAGTGCCTCCTGCTGGCCGTAATGGCGTATGACCGTTATGTAGCCATCTGTAACCCGCTGCTGTATATGGTCATCATGTCACCAAAGTGCTGCCTTCTGCTGGTGGCCGGTTCCTATCTATGGGCCTTCCTGAACTCTGTGGTACACACCAGCGGTTTGCTACTCTTATCCTATTGTGACTCCAATATTCTGAATCATTTTTTCTGTGATATCAACCCACTTCTGAAGATCTCGTCCTCTGGCACCTACCTCAACCAGCTACTTGTTTTCGCCTTTGGCAGTCTGATTGAGGTGATGAGCGTGGTGACCATCCTCGTCTCATACATCTTGATTATCACAACCGTGCTGCGGATCCGCTCCGCCAAGGGCAGGCGCAAGGCCTTCTCCACCTGTGCTTCCCACCTGACAGCCGTCACCATGTTCCATGGGACCCTTCTCTTCATGTATTTCCGACCCTCTTCCAGCTACTCACTGGACACAGACAAAATGGCCTCTGTGTTCTACACGGTGGTGATTCCCATGCTGAACCCTCTCATCTACAGTTTGAGGAACAAGGACGTGAAGGATGCTCTGAGGAGAGCGATAGAGACAAAATTCTAGGCCCGGTTTTCACAAAAGGGTGCTGCAATTGGACAACTAAATCCTTCAACAGCTCCTCTGCACACATAGGCCCAAATTCAGAAGGCCTTTAGCACGTGTCAAAGTGTGTCTCCCTTTAACTACAGTTGGACTTAAGCACATGTTTCCAATTAAGCACGTATTGAAGTGCTGCCTTGAACAGAGAGGCTTTCCTGAATAGAGGTTTCATGTGCTCCCCTCAGGAATGAAGAGCCTGAAAATGTCTGTGGAATCATGGCCAAGCCACTAGGCCAGCTGCCTTTCCAAAAGGCCCACAACACCCAGTCATGCTTTTTCGACTAAACTAACCAAAGAAGTTCATTTCTGAGACTTGCAGAAAGAAAATGACTTCTACATTTTGAAAATGTTTAGTGAGCAATATTTGCTGTGTTTTGACCAGTTCTGATCACTGACCATGAAACTTCAACATCATCCTTTAGCCAGCCTTGCCAGCATTAGTGCACAGCACTGTCTACAGACTTCTTGGCTATGTCATCAAAAAGTAAATGAAGAGAACCCTGAGTTCTCAAAGCTAGTGTATACAAGAAATTTGTTCAAGAATATCTTGTTGGGGCAGGGAGGAGGGTCAACACGATACATTTAATAGGCAGCTGGTTTCAAGCAAACAAAGGAAATACTTCTTTACACAACTCCCAGTTAACTTGTGGAACTCCTTGCCAGGGGATTCTGGAAAACATAACTGAGTTCAAAAATAGATTTAGATACGTTCACAGAGGATATGTCCATTGGGGGTTATTATCCAAGAATGTCAGGGACATAGCCGCTTAGCTCCAGGCAGGCCTATTGACAGGGGACAAAGGGGGCAACTTCCCCGGGACCTGGCATTTCAAGAAGGCATGGAGCTCCTGGCCGCTGCTTCTGCCACTGTGACAGCACCGACGGCTGGAGCCCAGGGCCCTTTAAATTGCTGCTGAAGCCTCACACGGTACGCTCTGGGGAGTGCCTGGAGGAGGCGTGGCATGCTTTAGGCATTGCTGAGGGCCATCTGAGGGAAACTAGTCCCTCCCCTTCCATCCAAGGCCCCTCCCCTTCCACGGGCATGGAGCCTATCCCCCTTCTCCCAGGAGCTGACAAGTCTGTCAGCCCCACTGGCTCCAGGTGTCTTAAAACCTTCCGCTGTCAGTAGCCGGGGCTGGATTATTTGCTACTTGCCCGGGTGTGTTTGCTTTCTCTGAAGCGTCTGCCAGTGGCCACTGTCAGGACACTGGGCTGGAGGGACCGTTGGTCTCACCCAGTATCGCCATTCCTATTGCACTGATCTGGTTAAACCCTTCCGGCTGATTTAGGTTAAACCCTAAACGCTGCTGCTTTGATTTCAGGGCCTGAGTGTGAATCCTTCCATAGCATCAGTCATCGCTTAAGGTACAAATAAGGCTCCTTTTCCCATCTCCCAGGCTGTTTGCTACAGGGGTTACCTTGCTGTGTTTCTACGAGTATAGCTATGCGGCAGTCACAGGTTTGGGCCTGCAGCCCAGGTAGATGAACAGGCCAGCCTTGCTATAAGTCCAAGATACATGGACTTACAGCAGAACAACTTAAAGTGGGGAATTTTTTTCCCCACAGCTGACTCCCATTTGCATAAATTGGTTTTTTGTTTTTGTTGGTAGTAGGTTTTTTTGTTTTTGGTTTTGTTTTTTTTGCGTCACTTAAGAGCGGGGAATAGGAGGACTTATAACGCATCAGTTCCTACAAATGTCAATGACTTTAGTGCAGAGCGGATATATAGCAAGGCGATTTATAGTGGGGATGCCTTGTACTCAAACAGCGATTCCCTCACACCTCCCTACAGTTGTTAGAATTAATGAAATTGCTGAATCATGAGCAAATGAAGGCACATGTTCAAAAGCAAAAAATAACCCCAAAACGCAAAAAACCACAACCCTCCCCCAAACTCTTAACAGTAGCCACTGCCAATAATTATCACCCTATTGTAGAACCAAAAAAGCACCCTCCCCCCATAAACTGCTTTGTCGTCCAAGCGTTAAAAAGGGGATAATTCCCCAAGTCAATTACTCTTCTTGCCTAAAGGAAAATCTGACTTTGCTTTCACTATAGTTCACACCCACTTCAGCCTACAGCATGTGGATCTGGCCCACGAAAGCTCATCACTTAATAAACTATCTTGTTAGTCTTTAAAGTGCTACATATGTTTTCCTTTTGTTTTACCGCAATTAAGTATGTCACTAAAGTCAAACCTTCCAGTTGGAGTTCATTCCCTGTGGTTCATCAAAATTCTATTCATGACCAAAGCTACTAAGAGAACATTTTTCTCTCCATCACACTGCTCAGGTTACCCATTACCTCCTTGTCCCTCGGGCTGTGTCATGAACTAAGGCAGTGGTCACCAACCAGTAGATCGGGACCCACCAGTAGATCTTGGAGCCTCTAACAGGTGATCCTGACTGTTTGTCCAGGCACTTCAGTTGCCTCTCAACCCACTGTCATGCTGCTCCTGCCCTCTGCCTTGCAGCTACCCCTTGGAAGCCTCCTGCTTGCTGTGCAGGGTGTAAGCCCTGGGGTGGCCAAGGGGACAGGGCATTTACCACATACCCAGGACTAGAGCCTACACCCCAACCCTAGCCTGGTGAAAATGAATGAGATTTAGGGAGGAAGGGCAAGAGAGCAAGCAGGGCAAGGCCTTGGGGAAGGAAGCCAGGCAAGGGTATTTGGGTTTGAGGTAGATCTTACATTGCACTTAAATTGGAAAAAAGTGATCTTGTGATTAAAAAGGTTGGAGACCACTGAACTAAGGACTTTGCAATTGTTAAAACATAAAAAAACCAACGAATAGTCTGGCAGCACCTTAAAGACTAACAAAACATGTAGATGGGATCATCAGCTTTCGTGGGTACAACCCACTTCTTCAGATGATCAGAGTATGAAAAGTCCAGGTCCAAGAATAAAAAAGGAGTGGGGAGGAGGGAAGCAAGGGGGAAAATAGTGAATTAGAGTGTTCAAGTTACAAGAAGCCGATAGAGAAAGTGCAAATTGTTCTTTAGCACCTATTGTTCGTTGGTTAAGTCATTCAGATGTGGAAGGTAGTGTGCCAGCCAGGTAATGTCTTTATTCAGACCTTTTTGATGGCTCCCAAACTAGTAAATGAACTTAAGTTTCTACACTTCCCTGTGTATTTGGCTTGTGGAATTGGCCTGAAACAACATTGGCCTGAGTTTGAGATCCATTAATGAGTGCCCGGGCCAGTTAAAATGTTCTCCAACAGGTTTCTGTGAGTTGCCTTTTCAGATATCTGATTTGTGTCCATTAATTCTTTCCCATAGAGACTGTCCGGTTTAGCCAATATACATGGCAGAGGGGCATTGCTGGCATTTGATGGCATGAAACACATTGGTGGATGTGCAGTTAAATGAGCCTCTGATTTGATTCCTTCAGCCAATTTCCACTCTTATGCTTTCTATCCTTTTTATAAATAAACCTTCAGATTTTAGATACTATAGGATTGGCAACAATGTGATTTCTGGGCAAGATCTGATTTGCATATTGACCTGGGTGTCTGATCCTTTGGTAACAGAAGAACCTTTAATTGAGAATGTTGATTTTAATAGCCACTCATCCCCATAAGCCGTGCTGCGAGTGTTGATACAGAGGAATTAGAATGTCCTATGCCAGGTCTACACTTAGGGAGAAAGTCGACTTAAGATACAGAATGCCCATTACGAGAACAGCATAGCTGGAGTCAATGTACCTTAAGTCAAATTTCTGCAAAGTCTACATTGCGGTAGCTCAACGGGAGAAACTCTCTCATCGACTTCCCTTCCTTCTCGTGACTCCATGGAGTAACAGGGTTAATGGAGGTACAATCATCAGTTGATTTATTGGGTCCTTATTAGACCTGCTAAATCTAATCCCAGAAGATCGATCTCCGGTGCATCAATCAAGGGGTAAGTATAGACAGGGCCTGAAGGAGCTGCTTTTTAGATATGTTGTCAGCCAGCATGGTGCAACAGAAGTTCTCTTTTTGGCTGGTTCAGTGCCTTATATGTGGAGGACCCCCATCTTGAGTTGTGACTGCCCTTTTTCTCTACTATGCTTTACACTATATATATATTTTTGTAAGTCTCTAAGATGCTACAGGACCACTCCTTTAACTTTTTCTCAGCAGTTCATCCTGAATTGGATACTGTCAGGCGTATCCCATGAGAGCACACTGCTTACAGGAGCATGAGAGGTTATCTAGAGCATCCTGCTCGGCTGAGGCAGGGCTACGTGTACTTAGATCGTCCCTGACAAATGTTTGGCTCTTCTTAGAGACTTCCAGTGATGGGGATTTCTCAACCTCTCTTGGAAGCCTATTCCAGTACTAACCTACCTTTAGATTTAGAAAGGGTTTCCTAGTAGCTAAGCTGCATTCTTCCTTGCAGCAGATTCCTTCTTGCCCTTCCTTCAGTGGACATGGAAGACAATTTATCACTGTCCTCTGTAGAACAGCCCTGAATATATTTAAAGAGTGTTATATGGAAGACTGTGTTCAGTGGGACGTAAATATATGCCTAAGGTAAGGAAAGCCTGAAATGCTTTACTGAATGGGTGTAGAGGGCTAAAGAAGGGATAAATGGGCAAAGGGAATTATACAACTGGGGAAAATGAGGCACAGAGGAGAAGTGACTTGCCCAAGTTCCAGCTGGCTACTGGCAGAGCCTGAAATAGCTCTCAGGTCTCCTTGGTCCTGGTTAAACATTCCGTCCATCAATATCCCCTTCGAACAGTGGTTCTGAACCTTTTTTGGTCCATGTACCTGTTGGCTTCACATACCCCTTGGGGGTCCATGGACCCACAAGGCTTCACGTACACCTTGGAGGTCCATGGACTCCCGGTTCAGAACCCCTGCCTTAGGTCCATGGACCCCCGGTTCAGAACCCCTGCCTTAGAAGAAAGTGAATGTGATTAAAATTAATGCTTTGGAGTGTCTCGTGTGTACTGTCATTCAAAGCAAACGAATGCTTCTTTTGTTTGGGCTCAACAATCCCAGACTCTGGGCTCTCTGTGCACCTGGGGGTTTGAGCACTGATCAGATCCCAGTGGAAAAGTGCTGCACAATGCACAACAATCCATGGGAATCAATGAGGGAAGGGCTCCGTGTCCAATAGGTTTGCTTGAGTTGTCACTTACATACAGCATAACAACCCTGTCCTAGCAATGCCACAGAAGCAAGTCCATCCCACAGCAGCCATGACGGACATAGTGTGCCGCTTTACAATGAGGGTGCCGAAAAAGCCTGACCATCATCAGCCCCTTTGAAATCTTTCTGCACGAGTCAGGTGAGCGAAGAAATATTTCCAGACATTGTGCGCTTTTCAATAGCCGTTGCTTTAAAAAAAGGTGGGGAATTAAACTAGGGAACCTTTAAAAATGCTGCTGTATGTTTAGAAGTGTAATAGCTCCAACATGAGAGATTTAGAAAACTTGGTTCTAGAAACTGGTGGGTAAGGGGCTTGTGGAAAATGTAGGAGATCTGAATTCAAGTCTCTGTTCTGACTCATTTTCTGCTCTTGATTTCTGAATCTCTCCGCCCCCCCCCAAATAAGCTGAAGTTCAAACAGAAACTGATGCAGTGAAGTCCCATGTAATAGAGGAGGGCTGATTGGATTATCATAGTTGTTACTTCCCGCCATCAGATGTTTGATCACCCGGGTCTCCCATTGCCCAGGTGTGTCTCCTAACAGCCTCCCTCTCAGCAGAAATTCTAGCCTGGCTCTAAAAAACCTTCCCATTGGAAATTTTGTGGAAAAGGGTGAACATAGAGGTCAGCTGTTAGAATCAGGAACATTGACCTTTGATGAATTTCCACAAAAAGTCTTGCTCTTAACAAGTTGGTATTTTCTGACCAGCTCTGGTCTCAAATCCCATCCGTCTTCTTTCTTTCTGCTAACAAGGTCAGCTAACGTGCAAACCAGCTGCATTTCTCATGTTGGATATCTGTGTCATGGACATTTCTCCACTGGGAACTGGGCTGAGGGCCCCAGCTCAGTACACACAAGGCCCTACCAAATTCATGGTCATTTTGGTCAATTTCACAGTGATGGGATTTTAAAAATCATCAGTTTCACAGTTTCAGATATTTACATCTGAAATTGCCTGGTATTGTAACCAGGCAGTACCCAAACCAAAAGAGGCTTGTGAAGGGGAGTGGCGTCATGGCATTGCTAAGGGAGGGATTAGAAATATACACCATTATGAAGATTTTGTTTGAATGTTTCATCTAGCTTTTTAATATTTGTACACGCTATGGCCGGGGTGAATGCATTTTTAGAAACTGAAATAAAGAAATTGACCATGTGGAGGACACTAAGGGTACGTCTAGACTACCGCGTTTTGTCGACGGAAGTTTTGTCGACAGATACTGTCGACAAAACTTCCGTCGACAAAGAGCGTCCAGACACATTGAGTTCTGTCGACAAAGCAAGCTGCTTTGTCGACAGAACTCCGTAGTCTGGATGCAACGTTACAGGCAATAACACCTTCTGTCGACAGAGTTCTGTCGACAGAAGGTGTTATGCCTCGTAAAATGAGGTATACCAGCGTCGACAAAACTGCTGAGTTCTGTCAACGTTATGTCGACAGAACTCAGCGGTAGTGTAGACGCTGGTATAGTTTTGTCGACAAAAGTCCACTTTTGTCGACAAAACTAGGTAGTCTAGACACACCCTAAGTTTTCTGTAACCAAGCTTTGTCTCTTATGAAAGTCCCAAGAGAAATAGTATCATTACAGATATTGTAATACTTGGAAAAAAGTTTCTGAGGGTAGCTGTGTTAATCTGTAACTTTAAAACAACTAGTAGTCTTGTGTCACCATAGAGACTAAAAAATATATATGATCATGAGCTTTCGTGGGTAAAACCTACTTCATCAGATGAGTTGGAGTGGAAATAACAGAATCCAAGGTATATATCACAGCAAAAGCTGTTACCTGTCAATTGTACGACCCATGTTAATGAAGCTAATTAAGTAGGCTGGATGCGTCCCATTCATAACTTTTGATGTGAAAATGCGAATGTCAAAGGGAGGGGAAATTTGCTTTGTAATGTGTTAACCTGTTATATATACCTTAGATTCTGTTATTTCCACTCATGATCCTCTATACTCTCTAAGGCCATGTGAACAGTAGGAAACTATTTTGAAATTAGTAAATTCGACTTAACTCCCAATTTAACAAATTTGAACTAGCATGTACACACTATGGGGAAGCTTTGAAATTAGTCCGAGGCAGGCTCCATTAATGTGGACATGCTACCTCAGACGTAGAGCTCCAGGAAACACTGGGGAATAATTAGTTCAGCCTTTTCCTTAGCAGTAGGGACATGTTTCCTCTGCACAAGCAGGGTGACAGGACAGGAGTTAATGGATGGTTACATGATCTGTTCTGTCACTTTTGTGCAAATCTAGTTTTACTCCTGAACACTGAAATGTATCCATGTCCCTGCAGGTAGCAGTCGGTGAACCAATGGATGAAAAGAACAATCAAACCAGTGTGATAGAATTTATTTTGCTGGGCTTCACCAATCATCCAGAGCTGCAGGCTGTCCTTTTCCTTTTGTTCCTAGCAATCTACCTTATCACCATGGCTGGAAGTCTCAGCATGATCGTGATAATTAGGGTCCAACGCCAGCTTCACACCCCCATGTATTTCTTTCTCAGCCATTTGGCTTTCGTTGACACCTGCTACACCTCTGCCATTGCTCCTAAGATGCTGGTGAACTTCTTCACGGACGATAAAACCATCTCTTATGCCGGGTGTGCTTCCCAGATCGCTTTGTTTGCTGCATTTGTGAGCACAGAGTGTTTCCTCCTGGCTGCGATGGCATATGACCGGTATGTGGCCATCTGTAACCCACTGCTGTACACAATCACCATGTCGCAGACAGCCTGTGCCTGGCTGGTGGGTGGAGCCTATCTCGCCGGGTGTGTGAATTCGGCCGTGCAGACAGTGTGTGTGTTTCGACTGTCCTTCTGTGGACCCAACGTCATCGATCATTTCTTCTGTGATATCCCCCAGCTTCTGAAGCTCTCCTGCTCCGATACCTTCCTCTCAGAGAGCCTTTCCCTCCTTTTCTCTGCCCTGGTTGGTCTGAGCACCATTACATCCATCCTGGCCTCCTATTTCTGCATCTTTGCTGCTGTCCTGAGGATGCCCTCTGCTGAAGGCAGGCGCAAAGCCCTCTCCACCTGCACCTCCCACCTGACCTCTGTGGCTTTGCTTTATGGGACTGGTTTCTACATGTACTTACACCCCCAGTGGAAGTCTGGGCGAGGCAGTGATGTGGTGATTTCTATATTTTACACCTTGATAATCCCCATGCTGAACCCCCTGATCTACAGCCTGAGGAACAAAGAGGTGAAGGCTGCCCTGAAGAAAGTGATGAGGAGGAAATAAACAGCTTTAGCAGTAGCTACAACTTTGCTACATGAATGCTCCAGGCTTAACCCTAATATCTACCTAACCGTGATATTAATTCTAGCCTCATACACAAAACTAAACTCTAATCCCAATCTCAACAAGATCCTGTCAGATCTCAAGGATAGTAATTCAGCATTAGAGAGACTTATGGAAACCTGAGGAAGAGCAGGAGGTTTAAAGCCTTTAAAGTATCCCATAATCCTTTTAGGCAATTTGTCTGTGAATTGTGCCCCGTAATGCAGACGTCTTTTCACGTTGACACAAGGCTAACCTGCTGGGTTTTGTGTGCTGGTTCCAGGTGCTGTTAATGGCCCGTGATAAGCAGAAGTCTGGACAAGATGATCTGGTGCTCCTTCCTGGCCAGAAACTAGATAACGCCATGGCTAGGCATAGGACAAAGATTGGAGGAGAGTACAGGTGTTTGGTCCACTTTTTGTCCACCAAGTGTCACATCTGGCTACTCTTCCTGAAGTAGTCAAAGGATTTGAGCAGTGAAAGGAAGAGAAATTGAGGAAATAGCTTTAAATATTGGGGAGGGCTCTACCACCTCTTTAGCTTTTGAGAACTGGAATCCAGGACACGGGTGTCAAATCTGGACAACACATAGCCCTAGGCACATGATGAAGACTGGAGGATAGGAATTGAGCAGATGTCTCCTGACATCCCTGCTGTTCCCATTGGCTTGCAAAAAAAGCAAATATGATTCTAGGTTGTATCAACAGGTGTGTTGTAAGCAAAACTCGTGAAGTCATTCTGCCGCTCTACTCTGCACTAGTTAGGCCTCAGCTGGAGTACTGTGTCCAGTTCTGGGTGCCACATTTCAAGAAAGATGTGGAGAAATTGGAAAGGGTACAGAGAAGAGTGACAAGAATGATTAAAGGTCTAGAGAAGCCTATGAAGCCAGGCTTCATGAACTGGGCTTGTTTAGTTTGGAAAAAAGAAGATTAAGGGGGGACATGATAGTGGTTTTCAAATATCTAAAAGGGTGTCACAAGGAGGAAGGTGAAAATTTGTTCCTCTTGGTTTCTGAGGACAGGACAAGGAGTAATGGGCTTAAAGTGCAGCAGGGGAGGTTTAGATTGGACATTAGGAAAAAATTCCTAACTGTCAGGGTGGTCAAATATTGGAATAAATTGCCAAGGGAGGTGGTGGAATCTCCCTCTCTGGAGATATTTAAGAACAGGTTAGATAGACATCTGTCAGGGATGATGTAGACGGAGCTTGGTCCTGCCTTGAGGGCGGGGGGCTGGACTCGATGACCTCTTGAGGTCCCTTCCAGTCCTATTATTCTATGATTCTATGATTTGCGGAAAAGAGCATCTAGATTGGCACGGACGCTTTTCCGCAAAAGCACTTTTTGCGGAAAAGTGTCCGTGCCAATTTAGATGCGCTTTTGCGCAAAAAAGTTCCGACTGCCATTTTCGCGATCGGGGCTTTTTTGCGCAAAACAAATCTGAGCTGTCTACACTGGCCCTTATGTACAAAAGCTTTTGCACAAAAGGACTTTTGCCAGAATGGGAGCAGCATAGTATTTCCACAAGAACACTGACAATCTTACATGAGATCGTCAGTGTACTTGCGGAAAATCAAGTGGCCAGTGTAGACAGCTGGCAAGTTTTTCCGCAAAAGCAGTCTAGACACAGCCAGTCTAGACACTTGCCAGTCTAGACACAGCCATTCTGTTTAGGTAACGATCTAGCACCCAATGCTACGAGGTACAGAGCACTATAAACTGTCAATGGCACCACCAGGGGCTGGGAACTCAAAACAAGTCACCATGAAATTATTATACCATGAAACATCTGTATGTGGATGTGGAAGCCCATCTCCCAGATGAGATTAAATGATGGGTCATTACACCTTAAATGGTCAACCATTTTGATAGAAGCACCTCAGGACCATGGGTTGGCAGAAGCTAAGGGAAGCCTGTTTGGTTAGATTTCTCTGCAGAAGGCTTGAGAATTGGAGAGTGGGGAAAAATCAGCAGCAGAACAAAGGATCCAGGTGGTGTTGGTGGGATAGATCAACTCTAGACACTCTGAAACAGGAAGGAGTAGAGGGCGAAAAAGGAAGAGATATACCATGGGAGTTCTGGTTTAACCATGGGGCCAGCCAAAGTCAGAGAAATCTAGCTGACCTATGAAGGCTCCATGACTCTGGAGTTGCAAGGGCAGGACCCTGGACACCTCAAAGAACTCTGGTTACACCTGAAGAGCTCTATGGACTGGTTTGAAACCTGAGACCAGGAAACGTGTACTGCCGTGTTTATTATTTTGTACAGCTCTGCATATAAAGAGTAATGGAGTTTTGGAGTGTCTGTTTCCATGTGCTTTCACTATCGCGTACCTTAGAAGATGTAAACTGTAAGCCATAAGGCTCACACCATCGTTGGGTTTCGGGAGAACATGCATGAGTTTTTGGGAGAGGCAGAATTTGTTTCGGGGCCTACATGATTGGCAGAGGACTCCCCTCTGCTAAGAGAGGAATTAGACATGAGGTCAGCAGTCTAGCCAGGGACAGTGCCTAAACTCTGCCCATCTCCAGCGAGCAAGGGACATTTGGGGTTCATCATTTGGATATATTCAGAGCTAGAGCTGCCACTTCCAAGATACAAAAAAAAATGGCCATTGACTGTATTGCTCCCCACCTTTGGCCATACCATCCCCACCGCAACTGATTTTCCTTTTCCCCTCCTCTCAGGTGCCACACCACTATCATCAGCCTGACTTCCTCTGTCCCATGGGTCCTGGCATCCACTCCTCCCAGAAGCATCACCCCTCAATGAGTAGGGTTACACCCCGGGTCAGTAGGACTCCTTGGGTTAGCGTTCACAAGGGTAGGGCACCCCAAATTATGGTTGGTAGGACATGGAGTTAGTAGGGCTCCTAGGGGTTAATCAGACCTCTGAGGGCTAGGTTTATGCCTTGGGCGAGGAAAAGTTTCTAAAAGGGACCCAAAGGCTAAAATTTCAAAGGGTGACAAATATAAATGTGAGGGGTGTTGGGGTATGTAAAAATTAATAGATCTGAAATGGCTCTACATTACTAGTTCTACATTACCCTTTAAATATGCTTTTCCTTTTTGTTTTGTAGTTTGGGAAGATAGATTAAGGGTCCAGTCAAAACCAGTATTATCCTTTCTGATGTATAAACACGTTCTCTCTCTTCATTCTTGTAGCTGAGGAAACCAGCTACGTATGGAGTTGCTCTATTTTATTAGGTCTCTTGCTTAGCCTCATTGGCTCTGCATAACACATCTTCCGGGTCAAATTCCTTGTAATCTCTGTAACCAGTTAGTTTATAGCATAGGAAAGTGATGATTCATTTAGAAATTATTTAAATAGTAATGAGGGATGGGTATAATTGCATTAATTATTTGCTTATTAATATTCATTTTATGGACGTTAACATTACTAAATAAGGGTTTAGGAAAAGTAGTGATAGACATGTGAATTAACATATTAAAATAGATAAAAGTGTCTGACTAATGCCAATTTGTCGCCACTCAGACTTTGTGTTGAACATTCAAGGTAAACGAGCATGGGCAATAAAGAGGGTCCATTTCCCCCATCCACTCCTGCATCACCTGTTTCTTCTCTAATAAGGGGCACCAATATTCTCAGGTTCTCTCTTCATGTCCACCTCTCACTTTTCCACCTAAGATGACCAAAAAAACCCCAACCCCAACCTATGGGCTTTGGATGCAGACCCTAACCTGAAACTTTGTCAGTAATGAGAATGGGAATCTGCGATAAAGAACTTCACCTTACACCAAGTCTAGTTTGATAAACTGAGAACGTCTTTTAGCTTTGTTTTTCTTGTAACCATTTCTGACTTTAATATCTTGTTACTTGTATTCACTTAAAACCTATGTCTCTGTAGTTAAATAACCTTTTTTTTCCCTTTATCAAAATCAATCCAGTGTTGTGAACTGCGTGGGTCACTCCATGTAGGATGGCAAGCTGTTTTTTACTGTTCCCTTAAAGCAGTGATCTCCAACCTTTTTAACCACAAGATCACTTTTTTGATGTAAGGACAATGTAAGATCTACCTCAAACCCAAATACCCTCACTCTGCTTCCTTTCCACCCCTTCTCTGAGGTCTCCCCCTGACCATTCCATCCTCCTTCCTCCCCCATCCTCACTCACTTTCACTAGGCTGGGGTAGGGGTGCAGGCTCTGGTCTCGAACCTGGCATGTGGGAGGGGCTCGGGGCTTACCAAGGGTGGAGGATTGGGGTCCAGGAGAGGTTTCAGGAGTTGGGTGCAGGGGGACTCATGTCAGGAGCAGGTGGTTGGGTGTAGGAGAAGGTACAGGGAAGGCACAGTCAAAAGCCAACACTAACCCACTTTGCAAGCAGTAAAAGAAGTAACAACAACCCTCCACATGTGTGTTGGGTCAGGAGATGAGAGTGAAGGACAGTGGGTGTTTGTAAGAATGACAGACACACACGCAGTGTGTGAGAGTGACAGATTTGCATTGCCAAGTTCCCTCCATCCCCTTCTCTCTATGTGAGATAGGGTACAGAAGTGGGGGGGAGGGACACCCTGACATCAGCACCCTCCCACACCTTGCACAGCAAGGAGGAGGCTCCCAGGGGCAGCTCCAAGGCAACTGGAGGGGGTGGAGGGGCAACTGAAGTGCCAGCGCTTGATAGCTTCCTGGCCAAACCAGTCAGGATCATCTGTTAGAGGCTCCAAGATCTACTGGTAGATCCCGATCGACTGGTTGGTGACCACTGCCTTAGAGGAACAATAGACCTTTGCTATTTCAGCTTCCAAGGACAGGGCTGAACAGTGTAATACAGAATACACATTTTTAAGGAAGCATCTAGGACTGAGAATACATTGGGGTCACCCTGCATGTGGTAACCAAGGCTGGTGGAAGCCAGAGTTTGACTGGAGAGTACTAACAGTCATTCAGAGTGCAAGTCTCCAACCCGTACTTAGTTTTTAGAAAGATATGGTCTTCCTGTCCC